TGGTAGCAACAAGCACACCCAATACCCAGAGCCTTGCCTTCTAATACCACTCTCCAATAAAAGCAATCAGGACTCCTTGGAGAAATGACTGATTATAGGACTGGAGCAGAGAATATGCAAGATGAACCTGGAAGCATCTTACACTGACAAGAGAGTAACCCAAAACACACACACAATGACTGGGTATGCCACAAAGAAGGGACAAGTAGCCAAAGATAGAACAATCTGAACAACAAAATTTTTGTAGAAGCTAGGGATGGTGGTGCACACCTAGGAGGCTGAGGCAGGAGGATCTTAAATTCAAGGACAGCCTCAGCAACTTGCCAATACCCTGTCTCAAAATACAAAATAAAAAGAACAGAGGGTGTAGTTCGGTGGCAGAGCAATCTGAGTTCAATCTCTAGTACTGGGGGTATGGAAAGAGGGACCCACAGTGCCTAGGAAAGTCTGGGAAACTTTCACAACCAAGAGGAATTAAAGAAATATGACTGTGAAAACATACTCTGGATGGGATGGGATCCTAGAATGGAAAAAGGACATTAGGGAAAAACTAGAAATATGAATAGAGCATGGACTTAGTAATAATGCAACAATATTGGTTCATTGTGATAAATGAACCACATTGATATGTTTTTAAAAAGGGGGAAACTGGGTGCAAGATAGACAGGAATTCTCACTGGTAATCTTCATAACATTTCTGTAAATCTAACACTGTTCTAAAAACATTTGTTCTTAATGTTTATTTTTTAAAATGAAATACTCATGATGGACTATATACTTATAATTTCACTTAGTGCACCTAGGACACAAATGATGCTAAAATATGATCTCCGCCTTGTAGTCTCACTGTGAGTAGACAAATACTCATGAAAGATACAGAAATAAGAAAACAGTAAATGAGAAGTATAGTTAAAAGCGTATTAGAAACACAGAGGAGGAAAAGAGTTGTGAAGGAAGGCTTCAAGGAAGAAAGAAAACTTGAATTTGTACCTTAAAATGTACTGCAGGGTACCAAAGTTAAAAAGAAGATAAACAGGTACACTCATAAGGACAACCAGAAGGGAGATAAAAAAAGTTAAAAGAGGTTTAATTTAAAAATTTAGCCCGGAAAAATAAAGCCTTAAATGAGAGACATAATAGCAGTGTTCAAATACTTTAAGGGTCACGTGGCTAAAAAATGGTTACATCATATACCCATTTAACTTACAAGCTGACCTCTGGTGAAATGTGCCCACATTCAAGGACAAAGAAAGTGACAGCTGTTCATTACAGCCACAACAGGAAATGCCAATATGGAAAGATAGGAAGCAGGTGGCCAAGTTATTCTCCACAACTTTTCAAAGGATGATGCATATGTGAACCCAATAAAGCAAAAATCTAGATTCAAATCCTGCAAACAGGCCTAGCACACTGTATGTGCCACATCCTTTCCTATATATTAGCTTGTTTAAGATTCACAGTACATCTATAAACATTAATGTAGTAAAGGTTTAATGTAAAAAGAGAATTCGATGCTGCATGCAAGCAGGAACGTATTAGAATTCTTCTCTATCCCCGACTCTCTGAAGAGCAAATAGTTTGTAGGCCTAGATATCTACGTAACTAATTCCCCTTGTTCCTTCCTTTGGTAAAGTGCAGTGCCTCTCTCTCAGGCTTTAGTGTGCATAAAAACTATACAGGAACTGGGTGCAGTGGTGCAGGGCTGTAATCCCAGCAACTTGGGAGGCTGAGACAGGAGGATCACAGCTTCAAGGGGAGCCTCAGAAACTCAGTGAGACTCTATGCAACTTAACAAGACTCTTAGTTAAAATAGCAAGAATGGGGGATATAGTTCAGTGGGTTCAATCTCCAGTTCCAAACAAAACCACAAAAAACAAACAAAACAAAGTAAACGCTTTATACAGTTATAAACACAAAAACACGCACACTATTTGAGCAATTTAAGAAATTTTCAAGTACACTTTTCAACTTAAGTGATTTTTGCCCCATGCACTAATTTGAGGACCTAATCCTTCATTCCCCTGGAATGAAGCACCACTCCACTGCAGGCTTACTTGAGACAGAAAAGTCAAATCCTACAAGAAAAATATTCTAACAATTAAGTCTAAAATGAATTTTCTGTCATAAAAGGTGTTCAGAGACTGAAAAATCACAAAGAACATTTTAGGAAAGAAGAACTGGGTGAGAAGATCTCTTTCAAGTCCTGAATTCTAGAAAAGGGTAGAATTTAAAATCCAAAAAGAGGAAAGCAACAAAATAAAAGGCAAGAATGACCTGTTATGTGGGGGAAGCTCAATACTAGGGAACACAGGAACTCATTTCTACAGGTAGAGAAGCTCTTCCATCTTTCAGAGGACCACTCACACCCCTCTGCCTATGAGGCCTCCCTCACTTAGCAACCCTTCCCCACCCCCCCACCCCGCCCCAGTCACTCACTAGTCACACTGGCTTGTTTAATTTCCTTCATAGCTTCTATCAGGGGTCAGTAAACTTTTTCTATAAAAGGCCAGACTTACATGCAGGCCAAACCAGCTTGGTCCATGTGTGTGAATGAATGGCCTGTAAGCTAAGAATAGTTTTACATATTTAAGAGATTGGGGGAGATTGTTTTAAATGAATATTTCATGATGTGAAAATTATATGAAATTCAAATTTTGTTGTCCAAATTTAATTGGAAAATAGGCATGCTAATTTTTCTACTGCCTAGGCTGCCTCTGCACTCAAAGTTGAACAGCTGCAACAGAAGTTGTATGGCCCACCAAGCCTAAAATATTTACTTTTTTGACTTTCACAAAAGTACTGATTGCTGGCTATATTATTATCTGAGGTGGTCTTCTCTATTTGCTTTTCTATTCCTCATTCTCTCAGAGACACAGAATAAAGCACAGTGAGGGCAGAGGCCCTTGTCTGTTTTGTTCCCATCCTGAAACTCAATTCTTAGAAAAAAATTCTGGAACAAAGTAAGGATTCAATAAATATTTGATGAAAAAAATTAATAAATGGCTTATGGACCTGAGAAGTTTAAACTTCTACCAAACCTAAGGTATAATGTGTCACCACATATTATATTAAGTCTTTAATCATCATAGGTTTTAGGCTGTGAACAAACTCTTAAAGAAAATGGGAAATATTCTAGTAGAGAGAGAAATAAAGTAATAATGTTGGTCACCAGCTAGTCCAGGACACTGGGATTCTTCAGGAAATTGTAGACTACAAAGTTGCTCATGAAAGGTCCTCTGAATTAGTGCAAGGTGCCAAACCATTGTCAGCTGACTGGGCTCCTGTTTATCTTAAGATGCAAATACTTAAGAAATGACATCTCCTAAACATAGTACAGAGCATCAACACCATGCCACATCTTAATAAATGCTCATAATTATAGCAGATCTAGATCACACTTGCTAATGAATTTTTGATATCTAAATTTTTCCTATGCTGCTGATCAGCATCTATTCTGTAAGCAGTTGAAAACTCTTTAGAAAATTAAAAGGTTACCGCCCACAGACCAGAAGCAGCTTTTTAATCTTTCTATACTAGCCAGAGAGTGGGTGTGTGATTTCAAAAAAAAAATACAAGCCAACTCTGTTGGTGCAGGACCAGGTACTGTTGAGTTCAAATCCCACCTATAAGCATTGTTTGTTACATGACACTAGTAAAACTACCACCTACTCACAATTTGAGTCTCAATCTTCTGATCTATACAAATGGAGGGAAAAAAAAAATGTACCCACCTCCTGGAGGAATTTTATGTCATTAACCTTTTTCACAAGATTCTTTCCTTCAGGCTTTGCGATAATTACTATTCACAGGTCCTTTAAAAAGATAAGGGTTTGGCTTGAGCAATCACTTCCAAAAATTGAAGAGACTGGACAGAAGGTATGTACAAATCCAACTTTTGTTTTATTTTAAAGTAGCCTACTGTTTTTTCAAGATCTGGAATGGTTTAGCTTTTTTTTTTTTTTAACAGTAAGCTAAAAAAAAAAAAAAAATCATAAAGATGCTTAGGGCACAGGTACCTCTGACGAGTAAGTCAGACTTCTAGAATCACTTTGGATGGGAGGCCAGGGTCCACTTCTCTAACAAGTCAGGATGGAGGCAGCCTGCAAGCACAAGCTAGGATCTACCAAGCCTCAGGTAGAATGTGTCACCAAAGCAAAAGAGAATTGTCCAAATTGCTCAAGTGGCCAAATGCCTCTAGAGGAACTCGAGCAACAGAATCACATGGGGGATCCTCACCATCCATGCTGTTAAGGGATGAATCCAGCCAGCCCCTGGACCACCAGCACACACACCTTCCCTTAGGCTGCAGAAGCAGGGATGTGCAAGCCACAGAGGGATCTCTGGCCTTTTGGGGGGAGGTGTGACTCACTTCTTCGCCCCCTTCCCTCTTTCTAAAAAAAGGGGTTCACAAAGGGCACCCTGGGGCCAAACCCAACCAGCCGGGACCCACACCCCACCTCGCACCACCCCGTGCTCCCCAGGACGACGGGCTCCCTCCTCCCCGACAAAACAAGTTCCAAATCAAAACAAAAGGCACAGAACTGGTTTCAGGTGGCAACGGCCTGAGCCCCGGTGGCCAACTTCTGGGGACCAAGGCGACCCGGGGCTCCGAGGACCTCAGACCCCCGCCCCCACGGGAGCCGGCTCCCGACCGCTCCGTCCTCGGGCCTCGGCCCCAGTCCTCTCGGCCCCTGCCTCACCTCAGCCCCGGGGCTCAGGAAGGGGGTGCGGTGAGGGGTGGCCGAGGGAGCCCCGGGGCCGACCTGACAGAACACCGAGCCGGGGACAGAAAAGAGGCCCAGGGGTCGAGCCCTAGGCCCGGGGCTTCGACGCGAACCGGGGCGACCGAGGGTCTGAGCCGCGCCAGGCCGCGAGCGGGAGGCCGGGCCCACAGCAGCGGCAGCGGCACCGGGCCCCGCTCCCGCACCGCACTCTTCCCCCCACCCGGCCGAGGGGCCGCCCGTGAGGGGACCGCGGCCGCGACGGGGGCGCTCACTCACCGGCGGGGAGGGGAGGAGCAGCCGGCGTCTCCGCCAGCGCCGTCGCCCGAGCTCAAGCGCCGGCTCCTGCCGCTGCAGCCGCCGCGCCGGGTCCATCCCCCCCAACCACCCCCCTCCCGGCCCTCCCCCCGCGCCGCTACCGCCGCCGCCGCTGCCGCCTTCACCCCGGCGCGGGAGCGCGAACCGGCGCGAGGGAGCGAGAGCGCGCGCGCCACCGCCACCACCGCCGCCGCCCACAACCTCCGCCCCCGGCCGACGGCGCCTGCGCGGAGGCGCGCGCACGCCGCGAGGGGGCGGAGCCGAGGGCTATATAAGCCGACGCCCCACCCACCCCGGTCCGCCCACCCACGCGGTGCCTGGCCGACTCCGCTGGGCGGCTGCAGGTGTGTCGCGGAGCGGTTCCAGGTGAGCGTCTCCCGACCTAAAGCTGCGGGAACCGAGCTCCTGAGGGAGAACCCCATTTCTGGAGAACGACGCCCTTGAGCAGCGCAGTTTTGCGCGGATTTCTGGGTGACGCTCCGGCTCCCGCGTTTCTGCTCCCTACCTTAGTCGCGAAGGCCTTCCTTCCGCCTAGCGGGCTGCTGGGAAAAGGGCAAAGGCTGTTATTTTACATCAGATATAAGAACTTAACTGCTGAAGAAATCGCAAGCAGCCAGCACCAGCCCGTCCTTTGATTTTTTTTAATTTTATTTTATTTATCTGTAGGTGTTGCCCAGGATCGAACCCAGTGCTTCTGTGTGCTAGGCAGGCGCTCTACCCCTGAGCCACAACCCCAGCCCAGCCCAGCCCAGCCCCTCCTTTTATTATTCCCAATTTCCCCAATTCATTTTTTTTTTTTAGGTCATCACTTAGGTATTGAGGTTTCTTCCATGTTAGAGGAGCTGGGAGTCCTTGGCCTCCTGAAGTCTTGAGAGCCGATGGAGAAGGAAAACGTGCATGGGGGAATCAGACAAAATCAAATTTGAAATTAGTAATCCCTCCTCTGAGAGATCTGTGGTGCTGGGACAACCTTTATGGGGGAGACTAGTCGAGAAGGTTGGGGCTACAATCCAAAAGCCGAACGGGAAGGGCTAACTTGGTGGGAGGGTGGACAGTATCAACATTGCCAGAAGGGGCGTTGAAAGACCTCCCCGAATGTGGAGCAGAGTGAGTGTAGGAAGAAGTAAGTGATTTGGGACTTTGAGAGTTTGAGGAACCCTTTGAGGATTTTTCCAGCATGGTCACAGGGAGTGTAACTTGATCGTTATATCTCTTTTTAAATGATTGCTCAGCAGTGGAGGGTTAAATGGTCTCAGAGTTGGAGCAGGGAGGCCAATTAGCCAGCCACAGAGTATGTCATCAAGGCAAGAGAGGAGGGCGACAGTAGGGAAGAACTCTATTTAGCAAGTAAAATGGACAGGCTTATGGATGAATGGTGAAGGAGTGAAGGTAGGTAGCAAGATTGACTCCAAGTTGAAGGTCATAGGAGATTCATTTATAGATTTCAGAAGCATCGAAGGACACCCCTGAGAAAAGTGACCCCAAATGATTGATCAATCTAAATGTAAAAGCTAAAACTATTAATTTTTAGAAGAAAACACAGAAAAAGTCTGACTTCAAGCTAGGCAAAATTTTTTCTAGCATACAAAAAGCATGAATCATAAATGAGATGATTGACAGATTGAGCTTTTTCAAAATGAAGTTTTGCTCCTGGAAGAACACTATTAAGAAAAGGAATCCAGAGGCTGGCCTGGTGACCCACACCTGACATCCCAGCTACCTGAGAGGCTAGAAGCAAGAGGACTGCAAATTTGAGGCCAGCCTGGGCAAGTTAGCAACACCTTGTCTCAAATAAACCAGTTAATGAAAGGGCTGGGGATGTAGCTCAATATTAAAACACCCCTGGGACCAATCCTCAGTACTGGAAAAAAAAAAAAAAAGTCGAATGGAGGTGGGGGGGCTGTAGAAGAGGGGAGGACCAGGAGGAGCACATAGATTTTAAACATGGGAAATTTGGGTTGGGGGTCTAGGTCATTGGTACCACACCTGCTTGCCATCCCAGCACCAAAAATACATGAGGGGGGCAGGGCGGGGAGTATGCCCATGCTGTTTTGAAAACATTATCTAAATTGTTCTGATTTGGGTGAGGCAATATTTAGCCTTCAGACATTTACTAATTAATTTTAAGCATATGAAAACTGGAACATTATTTGGCAAAATTTGGTATCATCAAATTAGAATATTTATGCAGAAAACAAACATCACCAAAAAAAAGGAGTACATTTTGTTACTCAGGTTGATATACAAAGCCCATTATAGTAATTAAAATGTTAACAGATTCTGTCAAAGAAATACTTTGGACTAAAGTAAGAAATGGTAAAATTGCTCTTTATTTTTAGATGAAGGTATCTAATGCTTGATATGAGCCACTTAGCCTCATATAATAATTATGATTAGTGATAAAGATTGCTAAACTCTTTTTTTTTTTTAATAGGAAAAGACATTTGGGGCTGGGATTGTGGCTCAGCGGTAGAGTGCTTGCCTAGCATGCGCCGGGCCCTAGGTTCGATCCTCAGCACCACATAAAAATAAAGGTATTGTGTCCAACTACAACTAAAAAAAAATTTAAAAAATAGGAAAAGATATTCAACAAAGATTTACTGGTTAAGAAAAAAACAAGAAAAAATGCTCAATGAAATTAACCAAATGATGTTATGTGCATTTTAAATATGTAATAACATGTCCCACTATTATGTGTAACTATAATGCAACAATAAAATTCTTTTGTTTAAATAAAGCAGGGGACACTAGAGAAGAATAGCCTTACCTTAGATTAGGTAGAGGGAAGTGAGGGGAGGGGAGGGGATGTGGGGATAGGAAAGATAGTAGAATAAAACAGACATTATTACTTTATGTATATATGTGACTGCATGACCAATGTGATTCTACAACGTGTACATTCAGAAAAATGAGAAATTATATCCCATCTATGTATTAGCATACAAAGTGTATAAATGCATTCTACTGTCATGTATAATAACTAATTAAAACAAAAATAAGGGGGCTGGAGTTGTGGCTCAGTGGTAGAGTGCTCATCTAGCACGCGTGAGGCACTGGGTTCCATCCTCAGCACCACATAAAAATGAAAAAAAGATATCATGTCCACCTACAACTAAAAAATATATATTAAAAATAATAAAAAATTATTTTGTTTAATGTTCAACATCAAGAATTCCAAGGGAAATGTAATTGAAACCTTAGAAAGATAGCAGTAAATTTAAAGGGCTGGGCTGGGGTTGTGGCTCAGTGGTAGTGAGTTTGGTAGTTTGCCTAACACATGTGAGGCAATGGGTTCAACCCTCAGCACCGCATAAAAATAAATCAACAAAATAAAGGCATTGTGTCCATCTACTACTAAAACAAAAATTTTTTTTTAAAAAATTTAAAGGGCTAAATTAAAGATGGACCAGACTAAGTACTGGCAGGGGTGTAGAATTAGAAATTCACACACACTGGTAATGGAAAAACAAAAAGGAACAACTGTTTTAATCACAGTTTAGCAGTTTCTCTTAAAAATTGGGCAGGCATGGGGGCACACACCTGTAATCTCAGTGACTCCGGAGGCTGAGACAGGAGGTTCACAAGTTGGAGGTCAGCCTTAGCAACTTAACAAGACTCTCAGCAGGTAAAGCATCCCTGGATTCAATCCCCAATACCAAAAGGCCAACGAACAAACAAATTAAACATTCAACTACCCTGTGACTTGGACACTACAGTCTGAATTCTTAACAAGAAAAAGGAAACAATAATAAGAAAAAATATATGTTCGGCATGAGCTTTATTTGCAACAAAAACTAACACAAATGTTCAAAATCTGATGAATGAATAAATAAATAGTGGTATGTCCACAGGATAGAATACATTCAGCAATAAAAAGAATGATGTACTTACATAAACTTTGTTGATTAATCTCAAAATAATTACAGAACATGAAGAAAACCAAAAAAAAAAGCAAACATTTTAAGGATTCTAATCATGCAAAATTATAGAAAGCACAAAACATCTATTGTAAAGAAAAACGAATGTATAATCTCGCTTCTCTGGGAAGAGAGATTATAAGGCATGGTGGGACATCCTTCTCATCCCAGTTTGTGAGGCCAGGAAGAGCACTCGAGGCCAGCCTCAGCAACTTAGCAAGGCCCTAAGTAATTTAGTGAGACCCTGTCTCAAAAATAAAAATAAAAAGGACTGAGGATGTTGCTCAGTGGTTAGTGCCCCTGGTACAAAAAAGAAAAAAAAAAAACAACTATTGTTAGGCATGAGATGAGAAAATTGAATTGGAACTATCATGCCAGCAAAAATTCAATTACAAAGAGTATGCAGTCCTCTTTGTTATGACAATATTAATAAAGGATACAGATTGTAAAATACCAGCCAAAATTCGACTTTCAAATCTCTCAGTTGGTTAGCTTTGTACTGGCTGGGTATGACGCTTTAAGTAAATCTGATGATTAAGTCAAATGATACACAAAAAGAAATCCATGTACCAAAAAAAACTTAAACATGCATAATGATCTCAAAAATCTCAGAGTATGACATTCTCAGGGGGAAAAAAAATTATTGGTCTTGGTGATGCGCCCCTGTAATCCTAGCTCCTCAGGAGGCTGAGTTAGGAGGATTGTAAGTTTGAGGCCAGCCTCAGCAACATAGAGGGACCCTGTGTCAATATAAAAACTAAAGAGGACTGGGGACTCAGTGATAGAGCACTCCTAGGTTCAATCACCAATATGGCCAAAAAAGAAAATTCTTTGAAGAAAAACTAAGTAATGATGCTTACAAAAAATAGATTACTGGGGCTGGGGTTGTTGCTCAGTGGTTAGAGCACTTGCCTAGCACATGGGAGGCACTGGGTTCGATCCTAAGCACCACATAAAAATAAATAAATGAAGTAAAGGTATTGTGTCCATCTTCAACTAAAAAAAAAATTTAAATAGATTACTGATTTTAAAACAACTTGTAAAATGTCTTGACTTTCATTTCACTCTCCCTAACATAGAAAACACTAGAAAAAGATTTCAATTGCAACTCTATTATCCCACCTATGA